GCTCTTGGCAGAACCTCATTCTCTTTCGCTGAACATCAAAGGAATTTGATTTGTTGATCTAGGAGGCAGTTGTTCATTCTGGTTAAAAGAGCTCAGCTTTGGGGTCAATCCAGACTCACTGGGTTAAAAATCCCAGCTACGTTTCTTATTAGCCCATGACCTTGAGCAAGTTACCCAATCTGAACTTGGTCATAGTCAGAGTTCTCCCTCCTATTGTTTCAAGAATTTTAAATAAGATGATACCTCCCATTTGACCCATAAAAACAGTCATTCCTCCCTGCCAGGTATAAACTTCAGTAAATCTTTGTCCTCCACAAACATACAGAGACAATCCTCTCTTTCAATGAGAAGTCCCCATTCCTTCTCTGCATCCCAGGCAGGCTCCCATTTTGGTGGCATTTGATTGTTGTCATTGCCATTTTTATTAATACGGAAGCCGAGAAAAAGCTCAGATTTCATCCAGCTTCTGGTCCATTTTTTTTTTTTCCTTTTTGCAGTACTGGGGTTTAGAACTCAGGGCCTCATGCTTGCTAGGCAGGAACTCTACCATTTGAGCCACTCTACTAGCCTTGTTTTGTGTTGGGTATTTTCAAGATAGGATCTCACAAACTATTTGCCCAGTCTGGTTTCTAACTGCAATCCTCCTGATTTCTGCCTCTTGAGTTGCTAGGATTACAGGTGTGAGCCATCGGCACCTGGCTCTCCTCTGGTCTAAAAGTCTCAAATACTTTCTGCTGCTACTAGTGGGCAGCCAATGTCACAAGCAGTAAGACCCCGAGACCCCTCAGTGGCCCTCAGACCATAGCGTAGTACATATACCATGGAGAAGATGGGAACTATGGAGTCAGAGTTCTCATTAAAGGGTCGAGCTGAAAATACCAGGCTGGTGGATTTGGGATTCTGCCTAGAGGATCCTGCCAGACACATCCACTTAACTCAGGCTTTGAGAGGGGAAGTCTGGTATCAAGTCTCACCTGACAGGAATTGAGCTTGGAGTAGAATCTGCCACCAGTGGATCAGCCTCCAGTGTCCCCTCAGCCGACCTCAAGGAATGGAAGATCAGATGGCTCGTGCTGGCAGGACAAGGAGATACCAGAACTGTGACCCAAGAAAGGATTTCCTGTCGAGAGGAAGTAGGGGCTAACCTGAGCTGTGAGTCACCTTCCTCCCAAGTCTCTGGGATCACAAGGAACCTAGTAGAACCTTTTTCACCAGTTGTGCCTGTTTCCTTCCCAGAAAATGGCCATATATACTCCCACACCTCATCGTTCCAGAAATCACTTACAGTAAAAGGAAGGAGAGGCTCCCTGTAGAGTTGCTGGGAGACTTAGGCAATGCCAGGCATGCATCTGTTGTATGTGCTAACAGTTCCTGCTTACTGCAGTTGTAACAGCGACCACAGCTAGCAGGGTTTCACCCTGCCTCCCGATAACTCGCTCCATCCTCACACAACCCTATCAGACACTTGTGCGCTCACAGGTGAGGCTTGGAGAAGTTGCAGGCAAAGCCTGGGGCACCAGCTAAACAGCTTTCGGTGGAACCATGGTTCCCTCACTACCTGTATCCAAAATCCAAGGCACCCTGTTCTCAAAATACTTAGACCCTGGCAGGTGTATAGCAAGCACTCAGTGTGTGGGAACTCATCATTTGGAATTCTGGAGCACATGCGTTGAATAGCTACCCAGAGCTTCACATCCTAGGCGGCCCAACAGAGCCATAGAGGACTGGGTGCCTCCGTGACAGGAGGTCTCTTGACAGAAGGTCTCTTGAGATATTTAGACTGCTTCTGACTGAGACCTACTAACTTCTCACTAGGAGCAGAGTTAGCCAAAGATCCGAGATGGGTGAAAATGGCAGGGAGCGTGGGGGTGAGGAGTTGGGAAGCTGGAGCAGAGGGTTCCTGCAGCAGCCAGACTGGGAAGAAGGCTCCATCCCACCCTGTGGGCATTCTTGCTCTGCTCTCTGCAACCTCCCCCATTTGCACAGTGAGTCAGTAACAGGAAGGAGCTCCTGGCTTGTTGGTCATGCCATGAGTACCCCCATGGGGAAAGGGGAAGTAGAATGGAGGGGAAAGGTGAGCCATTCTGGCTCTCTCAGCCTCTGCCCTTAAAGCTGCCCTGCCTCCATGATCCCTGCTGAAGGTGGGTGGCCAGGGGTCTGACTGATCCAAAGTACCTGGGAATTTTGAAGCTCCCTGCTGACAGAAAGTCAAAGAAAGCTCAGGAATCTCTGTACTTATAAAAAATGGAGTCCCTCCCCTATGCTGTCCTGGTCAGGTGGTCACAATCAGAGTGACACTGGGGTTCCACCAAGGGGAAGTACAGGCTCAGAACAAAACAAGTGCCTCTAGGTGAAGCTCCGTACTGTCAAAGGGCTCTTTTGGAAACCTCCAGTAGCTCACTTTGTCTATTTTCCAGAATGCTTTGGAATATTTGAGTGTCAGCTTTTAAGTCACAGGTTTGAGTGGAAAAGATGAGCAGCCCTGTGGAAGAGGAGGGAGGTGTGTATGGTGGGGCAGTGTCCCCAGGGCTCCAGCTGAATGGAGATGGGCTGCCATCGGGCCCCCTTCCCTCCAGCTGGTCTCCATCATCCTGCCTTTCCTCTTCAGGACGTGAAGATCTTCCGGGCCCTGATCCTTGGGGAGCTGGAGAAGGGACAGAGTCAGTTCCAAGCCCTCTGCTTTGTCACCCGACTTCACCACAATGAGATCATCCCCAGTGAGGCCATGGCCAAACTTCGGCAGGTGAGCGCCCACCCCAGGCCTCCCCTGGCCAATTCCTGACCCAGAGTCCCCACTCTCCAGCCTCAGCCCTAATTATCTCTACTGACCTTATAGCCCTGAACCCCTGATTTTGCCCCAGGTCAAACAGCCCAGAGCCTGAGCTCTAAACTGAATCTGCACTGAATCCCAACTCTCAGATTACCTCAGTCCCTGGCACAGGAAGTTAGGGGCTTGAGCTCTGATATCAGATTGGACATCACCTCTCCCCTATCCCTTATTAGCTGCTGACGTTGGATAGGTTTCCTCATGTTCAAATCATCAGTTTTCAAATTGAGACAGTGGGTTATAAGAATTCAGTGAGAGCCAGGTGCTGGTGCCTTACATCTGTAATCCTAGCTGCTTAGGAGGCAGAGATCAGGATTGCAGTTTGAAACCAGCTTGGGCAAATAGTTCAAAAGACCCTATCTTGAAAAGTACCCATCACAAAAAAGGGCTGGTGGCATGGCTCAAGTGGTAGAGGACCTGCCTAGCAAGTGTGAGGCCCTGAGTTCAAACCCCAGTGCCGAGGGGGGAATAAAAGAACTCAGTGAGAAAGTACATGTCAAGTGTCAGCACACGTTCACAGCCTGCGGTCTAGCTCCTGGCCCCCCCTAAACAGCCTCATCTCAGTTCCCTTCCCTGTCCAGCGGGCCTGCCCTGTGGCCTTCTCCCCTTCCTGCTCCTCCTTTTTACCTGCCCTTTTCCAGAGAGATTCAGCTCCTGGATATGGGCAGGTATACACTCTGAGAATTCATTTGTCCTGGGCCAGCCTGCCTCACCTGCCCTCTCCACCTCCTAGTAGCACCTTGAGCTTGCCCTCAGGCTGCAGAGGTCAGCTCTGGGTAGGCACTGGAAAGGCCTGATTTCCCCCTGGGCAATGGTAGAGGGTAGGATGGCACCCCTGAGCTCAGCAGGCTCCCAGGTATCAGGGGAGAACTGGCAGGGCTCACTCAGGCCAGGTAGAACATCACCTGCCCTATACTCCAGAGAAATCCACGTGCAGTGCGGCAGGCTGAGGAAGTGCGCAGCCCGGACCAGCTGCACATGGACATTGCTGTGAACTTCAGTCAGGGGGCGCTGCTGAGCCCCCATCTCCACAACGTGTGTGCCGAGGCCTTGGATACCATCTACACCCGCCAGGAGGACGTCCTGTACTGGCTAGAGAGAGGTCAGCTGGATGCTGGGCATTGTCCCCTGCAGAGTGGAGGGGGGAGGAGGAAGGGGGAGAAGCACAGAGCAGTGTGGGAGAGAAGGGGCACCATAGCTGAGTGGCTGTTTCTTGTGTTTATGAGACATTTATTGAGCACCTGCAGAGATGGGTCACATAGGCATCAGAGATGTGGATACCCAGTTTCTGCCTGGAAGTTTCCTGTGGGTACATTTATAAGTATGACAGAGTGCAGTTTTGAGTGATGAGTGTTCTGGGACAGGACCCCTAAGCCAGGCTGCAGTATGTCAGGAAGGCTTCCTGGAGGAAGTGGTGCCTGCCAACTAGTCAATGAGAGGAATTTCCCAGATGAAAGGGACCCATTCCAGGAGAGACAAAGACTCTTCCAGGCCCTGTGGAGGGGGCTCCCAAACACATCCCTTATTGCTGTCCTTGGTAAGGACACAGATGGAGCTGCTGTTGTGGGAGGGGGCACAAGCACCTGTTCCTGTCCACTTCTGCTGCCACCTCTCAGAAATTAGCTTCACACTGTCCGTAGTGCCAGTGTCCCTCCCCCAGGACCCTCACGACCCCCTCCCAGGTCTGTATGGTCCCTATGTGACTTCAGCACTGACCCTTCTCCTGGTACCTTTTCCAGAGCTGCGCCTGGTCCTGTGTAGCAGGGACAGGGAGATGTCATGCCAGCTGCAGGCCCCTGGGCCATAGAGCCTCGGCCCCTGGGCCCAGGCGGGGCAGGGATGTGGTCATGCCCTCCACATACTTGTCCCCACTGGGCTGCACCCCAAACTGAGCCTGACACTGGCATCCCCTAGAAGCTATTCCCTCCCACAGTCACCAAGAAAAGCCTAGGCCAGGCACCTGCTATGTCCCACTCTCCCCCATATGCACACTGTCCGTGCACCCTGCCTCTGTGGGGAGGTTTGTGCTGTCCTTTCCTGCCTGACCCTTCTGAGGTTTCCCCTAAGAAGCCTTCCTGATTCCCTGCTAGTCCCCCACGCCTCTGTTTTGGCACACTCCAGGACAGAGATGGTTTAAAGCATTGGCTCCAGAGCAGACCTTGAGCCAGACAGACCTGATTGCAGTCCTCAATCCCTTTTATGTTGACTTTAAACTTCTTAGTCTGAGCCTGTAATCCTTGCTACTTAGGAGGCAGAGATCAGGAGGATTGAGGTTCGAAGCCAATCCCGGGCAAATAGTTCACAGGCCAAGGGAGGGAGTGGCTCAAGTGGTAGAGCACCTGCCTAGCAAACAGTGAAGCTCTGAGTTCAAATCCCAGTGCCACCAAAACCAAACAAACAAAAAATAAACCTTTTTGGTCTGCACTGGTTTTCTCATCTGGAAAACAGGGATGACATTGCTTAGTTTACAGAGTGCTAGAAAGAGGGTCTGTGTGTGGTCTTGGCTCACAGTTGGGATTCAGTAGATAAGGGTGATTGTTATTTAATCTCTTTCTCTCAGTAGCCTCACCTGGAGTCCCCAAGGCAATAGAGGCCATGCAGGAAAGGGCAGCTGCTCCAGGCTAGGAGTGCTTCCTTCCTTTCTTACCCTGTCTCTCTCTCACCCAGGTGTGGACAGCTCTGTGTTTGAACCTGTGCCCAAGACCTCCGAGCAGGTGGAGCTGCCTCACTGTGGGCAGGCTGGGGACCGTGGGAAACCCTGTGCCTGTCATTACAGCCTGAGTCTGGCCTGGTACCCCTGCATGCTCAAGTACTGCCACAGCCGTGATCGGCCCACGCCCTATAAGTGTGGCATCCGCAGTTGCCAGAAGAGTTACAGCTTCGACTTCTACGTGCCCCAGAGGCAGCTGTGCCTCTGGGATGAGGACCCCTAGCCTAGGGGTGGCTGCTATGGGCCCACCACTCCTCCACCAGCCACCAAAGTGGGTGGCAACCCCACCTGAGGCCTTATTTCCCTTCTGGCATCCCTGGTCCTCAGCCATGGCCTCTGCCTGCATGACTGTGAAAGAGTGACTGTGAAGACAGCCTCCGGGCCCATCCTGTGCCCACCCTATGCTATCCTTAGGGACAGAGAGGGACAAAGCAGTTCTCCAAACTTGCACCTTTCCCTCCCCATCTTCCCGGAAGTATTCACTTTCAAGCAACAGAAATGTGACTAGGATTCTTCTACAGAACTCTCTAAGGTTAGACCCTAAGAGGAGTCTTTGCCTGCCTGCCACACCCACCTTTCCCACACCACTCCAAGCGGTGATGGGCTCATCACCCCCGGAGAGGAGATGTGGGGGACTCAGGCCCAGGTTCCTGTGCCACATGACAGTGCATTCTCCTTTCTGGCCCCAACTGAGAGCTAGGGAGACCTGCCACCCCTAGGACTGACCATGTGTGCCTTTCCCCAGACTGGACCTTTGCCACTAGAGCGGGGACCAGCTCTTCCTCTCTCTAACCAGAAATATTTTTGTAAGGTTCTGGGGTAGAGAAGATCATGAAGTACAAGGAAAACTTGAATTCCAGATTTTTAATACAAAGTATTTATCATTTGTATCAGAAATAAAAGTTAAATTTTTTACTTGACTTAGAATGCTAGACCCAGGCTTCTGAGAGCACTTTTGTCCAATGCTGCCACCTGGTGTCAGAAGTGTCCTCCCACTGGCTCAGTGACCAGTCAGGAACAGCAGCTTCTAAAGCACCTAATGTGTGCTCAGCCATTTGGGAATGGGGAGGTGTGTGGGGAGGAGCCGGTAACTCAGGAAGGATAAACGAGGATGAGAAAAGGCCTGGGAGTGAAGCTCAGTGCTAGAGTGCTTGCCCAGCATGTGTGTGCAAGGGCTCGGTTGCATACCCCGCACAGGAAAAAAAAAGAGACGGACACAGATGAAGTAATAAGCCATCAGTGATGGCCAGAACAAAGCCAAGAGGCAAGATTAAGACTTGAGAACCAGATATCCAGCATTCAAATCTGGGCGCTGCTACTTGCTGTGCAATCTCAAGCCAAGTTACTTTACGTCTCTGTGCCTCAACTGAGCTTCATTTGTGAAACTTGAGCCAATTCGTGCATACCAAGTGCTTGGCACAGGGGAGAGCCCACTGTATGTACCATTGCTGTCAATACTGCCGCTGTGGGGCTGGTGCCATGGCTCAAATGGTAGAGCACCTGCCTAGCAAGTGGGAGGGCCTGAGTTCAACCTTCAGTACTGCCAAAAATATATATATATTGCTATTGTTAGTAAAAAGAGCAATCATTACCTCACCTATAAACCCAAGACCACCACACCAGACATCTGGAAGGCTCTTCACTTCTGGAGAATCTTCCAGGAAAAGAGGCCGTCGTGGGAAATGCTAAGCAGGATGCTGGAGGCTTCAGGAGGAGGGATGCATGTATCTGGGAAGGTTTTCTGGAAGAGATGGGTGTGGGCTGAGGCTAAAGAATGGTGACAAGGTGGAGGCAAGAGGGTTTCAGTGGCAGGAAAGTCTCATGTGTCCTACACGGGACTCAACTCCTAAGGAGGGAGGAAACAAAATCAAATCCTCCTTGAACGGCTTTGGGGAGGGGAGGTTTGCTGGGCTGTCCCTTTACTCTGCTCCCCAGAGTCCCCAGAACTTGCTGGTACAAGCCAGAGAGTGTAGTGAGCCAGGCATGCTTGACCATGGTCAAGTGAAGAGTCTGTAAGCAGGTGGACTTTTCAGGTGGGCGTATCTTCTTTCTAAACCTGTATTTAAGGACCTGCTTCAACCTTGCAGGGGACCAGGGAGGTACACACCACCTTTGTCTTTCTCCTGCCCAGTCTGGGGCCTCAGTGCTGAACCCTAACAGCCACTCCAGGAGGGGAAGGATGCACTTGGAGAAGGCCCTACCTCCCGCCCCTATGTGAGTCTCTGTTGCTGGGGACGGAGTCCCCCAGTCCATACACCTTCACTACTAGCTTCCAAATGATAAAAAATAATGTATTTAAAAAATTAATGGGTGTGATAGTCCACTTCAATAATTCTAGTCCTTGGAGACCAAGGAAGGAGGATCACCAGTCTGAGGCCAGCCTGAAATCCTGTCTTAAAAAAAAATTTCAAGATTTGACATGTTTTTCTGGTCTTCTTGGATGAGCACCTCCAAGCCTGCCTGTCCTCTGCATTGAGAGGTCTCTGGACACCATGAGGCTTCCCTGCCTTCAGCCCCTTCCTGGGCTTAGGGAAGGGGACAAGAATTAAGGTCTGTCACAAATGTGGTAGTTATCATCAGAGGCCCCCGAGTGAGGCATTTTACATTCTCCATCCAGTTTACATTCTTGCTAGCAGTGCACTGATGTTCCTTTGTCCTTATATTAGCTTAGGGGGACCTGGCAAGTCTGAAATCCAGACAGTCTGGCAGCCCAGGCAAAGGTTGATGCAACGTGCAGGACAGGCCAGCAGACCAGACGCTCAGGCAGGAAGGATCTTTAGCTTAGGTCTTGAGGCAGAATTCCTTCTCCAGGAAACTTCCATTTGGCTCTTAAAGCTTCAACTTATAGATGAGGCTTACCCTGCTGCAAGGGTAATCACCTAGAGATTGCAAAGGTGAGCTCGGTGATCCACCCCTGTAATCCTAGGAAGTAGAGATCTGGAGGATCTGGGTTCAAGGCCCAAGCCCTGGCAAAAGGTTCTCGAGACTACATATTGACCAATAAAAGGTGGGCACAGTGGCACGTGCCTGTCATCCTAGCTACATGGGAGGCATTAATGGGAGGATCACAGTCCAGGCTGGCCCAGGCATTAATGTGGGACTCTATTCGAAAAATACTTAGAGCAGTCCGGCACTGGTGGCTCATGCCTGTAATCCTAGCTACTTGGGAGGCTGAGATCAGAAAGATGGTGATTCAAGGCCAGCCCAGAAAAATAGTTGGAGAGACCCCATTTCCAAACTAACCAGAGAAAAATGGACTGGATGTGTGGCTCAAGTGGTAGAATACCTGCTTTGCAAGCTGAAGCCCTGAGTTCAAACCCCAATCCCACGAAAAAGAAAAAATATTAAAGTACTTAAAACAAAAAGGGCTGGGGGAATGGCTTGAGTGATAGAGTGCTTGCCTGGCGATCTGAAGGTCCTGAGTTCAAACTCCAGTACTACCAAAATAAATAAAATAAAAGATTATAAAATCTAGGCTGGTATTTGACAAAACAGCTGGCCGCCAGAACCTAGCCAAAACCTACCACACCTGCCACCACTTGGTGTCATCATAAAACAGTGAGAAACACAGCATCTAGAGTTGGTTCTCTGAACTGCTTGTTTCCCCTCCACCCTCCTTGCCACCGTCCTTGCCACCCTCCTTGCCCTGTGTGGGCCCCAGGAAGCTGGCCTCTGGAAGGGTATCACCTGGACCCCTCACCTCTCACTCCAGCCAATGAGAATCGCTCACAGCCTGTGGGGGTTGGACAAGCACAAACTTTCCTGCCGTTCAGCCCCAGGAGTACCCAACTCTTCCCATCCAAGAACAAAATTTAAAATGCCTCAAACCCTCGGGTCTCCACCTCCATCCTACTTCTTCTCACAGACCTTGGGGGGCCGGGGGAGGAGCTTGTTTGCTTGTTTGTGACAGGATCTTACTTTGTAGGTGACTGCCCTGGAACTCTCTATATAGCCCAGATTGTCCTCGGCGTTCTCCTGCCCTAGGCTCCTGAGTGTTGTGATTACAGGTGTGCACCACCATGCCTGGCTCAGACAGACTTCTTGCCAGCAACTCACCCCCAGCAGTTTCCAGCCTGGGAACTCTGGCTGTGATGCATGTCACAAGTCATCTGTCAATGACACTGGCCAATTATCTTCAAGTGTCTAGATAGAGCTGATTCAAAGTCCTCCCTGTAGGACTGTGGTTGTCCCACCCCCTGTGCTATTCCATATCTTGGATTCAGTCCCCACCTGTGCTACTTGACACTTCTGGCCTTCCACACTCTTTCTGGCATCTGCCACTTGTTCCCCTTGCTTAAATCCCCACCCTTCTTAGCTGGGAACCTCTGCTTAGATGTTCCTTCCTTCAAGAACCCCTCCTAATTTACCCTACCCCAGATTTCCATAAAGTGGACCCCACAGCAGCTCCCCATAATACCCTCTGCTTTCCTGTTAGAGTATATGCCCCAGGATGAGGGTCTCACCTGCTCCTGGTTCACAAGCACCTACAGGCTGTGAGCTTCCTGAGGGCAGGGACAGTGTCCATTATATCCCCATATTCTAGGCCAGTGTGTGACTCCAGTGGGTGCTCAATACAGTTTTAGATGGATGGATGGATGGATGACCACCGACCTCCTGCATGTGTGGGTGCAAGGCAAACATGCAATCCAGCAGCTCCAGAGGGCAATGGGGGAGGTAGGACATTTTAACTGGACAGACAGCCATCAAGACCAGGAGCTCTTGCCACTGTGTTGACTAAGCCAAACCAAGCTGATTTCAGCTGGGTGGTTCATGCCTTTGATGGGAGCAGGAACTAGAAGACCATACAGTAGTCTGCAGCTAAAAGTCGACATCTTGGGCTTGCCTAGAGCTGGAGCCCTTACCTGTGGTTCCCCCAGCCATGGTCAGGCATTCCTGAGACACGGCTCCCAAGTTTTATAGGCAGTGGTCACATGCCTCGATTACCACAAGAGGGCGTGCTGGGACTAGACTTGCCCTGAGAGTGAAGGTGGCCAAGAAGGTCACCTGGTCTGGGGTGGGCTGGGAGAGCCAGGAAAGGGCCAGTTGAACCAGAGCTCTGTTGATGGTAAAATTTGGTCCAGCTGAGGGTCCAATGCTGGCCTCAAGGTCAAAAATGTTGATTGGAAGACAGTTGTTATCCTGCTGTTTTTACATTAAATACATATTTTTCATCTGTTATTCTAAACCTTCCAAGACAAAGTGGGTCATGAATTTGTGTGTATTCTCCACATACAACAAGGGCAAGGTGAAGTTATGGAGGGAAAGAGGGAAGAGAGCCCTGTGGACAACAGGACAGGGAACTGCTCTGTGTCCTTCCTGAGTGTCCTTTCCTATTCACTGCCCAGTCACAGTTGCTTTCTCCTGGCTTCCAGGACAGCTCTCACTTTGTCACCCTGGCACTACCTCCCCCACCCGCCTTCTCTTGGCAATGATGCCATCAGGCTTCATCAGAGGTGTGATTTAAAACAGACTGGAAGTCCTTCCTGGCCTCTACCTCCCTTCCATCTGCTTTTTTTGGGAAGCCTGAGCTCAGATTCATTCACTTTGATTGCCCCAAGGCAGGGAGCGACCCCCAACCCCACACCCCCACACTCTGGGCCCCACAGCCCATCTGGCCAGAGGAAGGAGCTAGAAGGGACTTGTTGTTTGGTGGCCTTCCAGGACGCCTCACTCTCCGCCCTTCTCCTAGCCCTGACAACTCAATCCAGCTGACATGACAGGAAGTGGGAGTGTGCAGCACTTCTCTCTGCTGAGAAGAAAACAGGGCTGGGGACTGCCTGTCCCCTCCAGAGCCACCAGCCACTTCCAGTCCATGTGTTGGGACTCCTAGAGCCTTCATCCTTGAAGCTAAAGAAGCTGATCCAGTACAAATGGAACTTGGGGAAGAGCTTGTAATGCTCAAGAGGTGCCACCCAGGAAGTCAGATGTCACACCAGGAGGACCCAGGAGGGGTCAGAATGGATCACTATTTCCAAACCACAGCATCCTGGAGTAAGGCTTTGGCTACTCCAGCTGCTGAGAAAGGGGGTGGGGGTGTGAGATGATTTGCATTTGATTTGCATTTGACTTGCATATCACTCTTTTGATGTCCAAAGGCACTGAAATTTCCTGTCCTGGCTTCTTTTTCCCTT